TGAAGAATGTTTCAATTTTGATACCAAGTGTCCAATATTTTGGATAATTTCCTCAGTATCTTCATAACCAACTTCACTGCGCGAACGCTTGCGCTGCACAAAATAGGGATTTATGCATATCGTGCATTCACTGTAGTATTCTATCTGTGCATAGTATTTTGAAACAACTGTAGGAGCACAAGGATCTAGAGCTGTTCTTCTAAATATACTAACTTGAATGATGTCCGGTACTTTTATGCAATTGAGAATTGCTTGTGCACTTATGCATACTTTAGAGTCTTTTGGTTGGTTGCTGCACGCTTCTAGAAACAACCAAAAAGACAGAACGTGGAAGTTCTTTCCACTGTCAACGACGTACTTTAGTAGTTCAAGTATTTGTATTAGAGAAGCATCTGTAACATGTATTTCACGCATTAGACTCAATCCAGAATTCACCAGTCTTTCAAAAGAAAAGTTGTGTTTTGTCCAAATTTTGCAAACTTTGTCTAACAAATCCGACAGCTGTTTTTGTACATCTCTGGAAATATCTGTTTTATATCTCATCACCTCATACATATAAGCAACCTGTGGAAGGAAAACATATATTCATTAGCATTTATAACACAGGCCAACAAAATTTTAACAATGTTATGTTTACTAATATATTACAGCCGAATTGATGCAATATATCTGTCTGTGTGGGAAGATATGAAAGCTTAAACACTGCTTTAATACTCAAAATCAAAAATTCTAACCCTGCCTAAGCCTTTTTAGAGAAAAACATAAATTTTTATTTAAAAAAGGCCATTATTTCGTTTTTTCAACTTTTCTCGAAATATCTACATAAATATAAATAAATAAGCTTTAGAAAATATTGCAAATTCTATTCTGTGGGTGTGTATTGTTGGTTCCAACTTAAAAGATAGGGTAGTTTTGAACCTGAGAAAAAATATTTTTTTTTATCGAAATTTTGTCTATGCTTCTCGCAACGTGCTTAAAAATCCTGTGTCACTATGTTCGTTTACGCTAATCACCGAAACTACCCATATCCGAAACGGGAGTGTTCCAATATTATTCGCAGCTACGCTTCATACATATTTATGTTTATGTTGGGGAGAAATAGATAGAATAGCAACAAAATAATATAGTATGTATGTAGGATCGCAGACACCAATAAAACTATTTAATGTGTTTTAGTTAACAATTTATTAATAATTTTAAAGAGCACTTAGCCTATACCGTCCGAGCATGGTAACCGTCGCGCAACTAGTGTGTAGTTGAAGTTTTGTTCTCGTCGCTGTCTAGTCCCTCGTCTTGTCATCTTACCAGTCCGTACCCCATTCACCACACGCAGGGTTGCAATCGTCCGTCAGCTTATGGTGCGTTCTCACTGTCCTACATTCGGCCAACCTGACTTATCGTTTGGCCTCAAACGATGGCTCCCACCCACTTCTTCATAAATTCACCGGCCGTAGTTGTTCGCTTGGGGCCCTCGCCCTCGCCGATCTTCTGCACTTCGTAACGATCGTGAGGAAGTATTTTGAGAACCTTGTATGGTCCGAAGAATTTAGGGCGAAGTCTTAAGGCACTTCCGAATGGGGTTCGCTTAATGGCTACTAATTCGTTCACCCGGTATTTCGTCACATCCTTTCTTTTGGAATCAAAGCGTTTACGGGTTTCTTTTTGAATTTTTGCGATATTAGTTTGTGCTTCCCGTCGTGTATTTTCTCTTTCTCTGTCCAGTTCGTCGATTGTCTCATTTTCCAGGAACTCATTCAACTCCGGTGTAGTTTTTGTTCTTATTTCGACTCCAGTCAACAGTCTGAAAGGCGAAATTTTTGTGCTCCGGGTGGCATGTTGTTAAGTGCCTGTTATACTTGTTCCAAATATCTGTACCAGCTCGTTGGTGTTTCCGCACATAGCTTAGTTAGCATTGGCGTGATAATTCATTGGATTCGCTCCACTTGGCCGTTACCCCTTGGCACCCCTGTGGCGATTAGTAGGTGCTGAATGGACTCGCTTTCACAATACGTTTTGAATGCGTTTGCAGTGAAAGCCGCACCTCTATCCCAAATTATTTCAGCTTATCGACTACTTCGTCTACTCCCGTACATCGTGTCGCATAAAGCCGCCCGAATTTTGAGAAAGCGTCGATTACTACGAAAATGTAACTATACCGCTTGCTGGTTTTCTCCATCAGCCCTACGTGGTCTACATGGAAAGTTCCGAGCGGTCGGTACTCTTTGTATATAGGTTCCAAGAAACCTTCCACTTTACCGCCCTTCGTTTCCACGATTATGCATTGAATACAGCTTCTAACAATTTTCGCTACCTTGCCCGTTATCTTTGGAATATAAAATATTTTTTCTACTTCCTCCTGTGTTTTTTTCACGCTGATTATGTGCGACTCTAATTATCTCTTCCTCCATCTGAACAGGTACCACCAAAAGTTCCTTAGCGGGATCTTTGTATAGTAAATCGTGCTTTATATAAAAATCTTCGTACCCGTCATTTTCCAATATTGTTACCACGGCCCGTACCTACTGCTACCATATCGATGCTCTATCTCGTATGTGAAGTCTTGCAGGAAAAGAGTCCAGCGTGATACTCGCTCTGGAACGTCTTTTTTCCGCATCGTCATAGTGAACGCGTTACAATCCGTTACAATTTTGAACGGAATACCCAGTAAGTATACGCGCCATTTCTTTAACGCTGAGACGATCTCGAGGACTTCGAGTTCGTACGAGTGGAAACGTTCTTCCACTGGCCTGATTTTCCTGCTCATGTACTGTATAGGGTGAAACTGGCGGTCTTCGCTATCTCTTTGAAAGAGTACAGCCCCGTACCCGTACATAGATGCATCAGTATGCACCAAAGTCATCGCTTTAGGGTTGTACAAGCGTAGTACCGGCGCGCTTGCTGAGCAGCTTTTAGCTGTCGGAAAGCTATTCCCTGCTCTTCCCCGAAAACGGACTTTTCTCCCTGACGCAGAACATCTGACAACGGTTTGGTGACCACAGCATATCCTTCCCTTACGATCTGACGATGCTGGGAAACTTTCCACTGCCAGAGTTTTCGCTTTCGACGGCCTAATCGTTCCAGACTCAACTATATAGCCTAAGAAATCTACCTTCTCCATGAGAAACTGGCATTTCTTCCACTTAATACGCAAATTATAGTCTTGTGCCCTGTCTAAAACAATCTTTAATTTGGCGAGACCTTTATCTTTATCCTTGGAGGGTATAATGAGGTCGTCCATGTATGTCACTAATATACCCTTTTCTAGCAGATCTCTAAATACCGCTAGTATGTATCGCGAGAACACGGCAGGCGAGTTACATTTGCCGAAAGGGACGTAGAGGAACTCGTATTCACCTTGATGGGTTACGAACGAGGTATACCGCCGTGATGCTTCCTCCAGAGGGGCATGGAAAAATCAATTGATCAAGTCCAGAGTTGTGAAAACGCGTGCACCAAGTCATCAATCAAGGGCATGGGAAAATGGTCTTTCATGAATTTCTCATTTAAGCGCCTGCAGTCGCAACATAATCTCTTGCTGCCGTCTTTCTTTGACACGAGAACTATTGGAGAAGCGTACTCTGATAGACTATGTTGGATTATCCCATCCCTCAACCACTCAGCCACTTGTTCCTCTACGATGCACCTAATGGCATATGGCATACGCCTTGGTCCTTGATATAATGGAACATCATCGATCAGAGAAATCCTCATTTTGACGGGAGACTCCCTAACTTTACGCCGGCGGTACTTCTGAATTGAAGTTTTTATTTTCAGCGCTTCTACTCTACTGAGGTGTAATAAGTCAACCTTGACATCATCTTCCTCCGCGGCATTTACACAAATTCCAAAATTCCTTTAGAAGCTCCAACTCAGGTAGTAGTACCTGAACTCTCCGCGATTTCCGATGCTTCTGGTTTACTTTTTTGCCTGAATTCGACATTATCTTCGGTCACAATTAAATCTATCTGCTTGAGCACGCTATTACCAATGATGGCTTCTTATACGATATCGCGTTCCCTAACCACATTAAACACTACGTCCAGTTCTACTCCATGAACCTGTAGCTTTACTTCGAAACTTCCCAACGTACGCAAGACACTATTGGCGATACCTCTTAGCTCATGTCCCTTGTTGGACAGATCAATGTCACCCAGCATCATTATTAGCACGTCGTAGCGTATCAAACACAAGTCGCACAAGTTGCACGTCAAATCCTTAAAGATTACGCAAGACGCCGACCTAATACCCTGTATTGCTTTTAACGCGTTTACCCTTGCGTTTTCTTCTTTCGGCTTGCTTTGTCTTTTTGGACACTCGAAGGCACGATGTCTTGGTTGATTACATTCGCAGCAAGTCGCCCTTTTTTTGGCAATTTCGTGCTAAATGACCACTACCCCTACACTTGAAGCAATGTCGCGACCCGCTTTGTTGAGAGTTTGAAGGATTTTTATCTTTCATTTCGCGGTTATTATGTACTGGCCTTTAACTAAGTTGATGCCCGGAACGTACCTTTTCATAAATTTCGATTTGTTCTTTTAGCTCTGAAATGGTTTTCGCTTAATAAGGGTTGCTTTTATTTGTTCTACTATCCGGAATACCTTCAACGAAGTATTCTATTAAGCTCATTTCATCTAAATCTACTGGTTTGCCAATTCCTGTTAGACTGTACAAAAATTCGCGATAACTTTCATTTGGACGTTTGTGCCGATTTCGAAGCAATCGATGCACGGCAATTGAGGCGGCTGCCGTGCCAAATTCCTGTTTCAGCGATCGCTTTAATGAGCCCCAACTCTCTATACCCCGCTGACTGTGGATACAAATCTTTTCCGCCCCTTCAGCAGTTGCTTGCCATAGATATATTTTTGTAGGTCGTCCCACTGTACGGCCATTGCATGGTCCTCGAATTTTTCGAGCCACTCTTCAATGGATGGGTGGCCAAAACCACAAAAAGTTTTTAGTGGGCGCTCGATGCCACGAAGTGTGAACGACGGACGCGAGCTACCCCCATTTGGCGATACATAGCTTTGAACCGAATCGCTATCCTGAGCAGTGCTATCATCATCACCCACAGTCAAGCCGAAATGCTCGCACTGTCGGTCTTGTAACGTCGCCTTCCGTCCAGTCGTTGACAAACTTAGGTCACTTAACTTTTCTTTTAACTCGTCAACAGTCAGTGGAAAAATATGTTTGCGGTCTATGTCGATTAATATATGTAGTTAAATTAAATTTAAAAGCGATAAAAGTACAGGATTTTTGAAATATGAAATTTATAGACGAATTGCTTTAATTCAAGGTACGTATTACATTTAAAACACTATTACTTTCAATTAATTATGAGTAACGTACAAATTATGTGCTTAAGCAATATACTCTGTTCTTGTGTACAAACGATTATTTCCCTCACTTTTGTTTACTTCCTTATTTTTCCGATACACCTCTTTACATATTATCGATGCGAGTCTTTTCATACTATCGATAATTTTTATTTATGTCAGTGTTTTTTTTTAATCAAGGGATGCTCTTTTCATGACATAATACCGAAGTACTGCACATTAAAACTGGTA